GGCCCAGACTTAGAGATCAAGACGCAGGAAGCTGCTGCAATGGTTCACCTTTGTTTTCGATATCCATATTACTAGCAACATTATTCCACAGATACTGGCAAATGCCTTAAACGTGAATAACGGACATTGGATGCGGACTCTGCTTCTCATGATTTGATGTTGTTGTTCGCACAGCATACAGAAACTGCATTGTTGTCCTCCGCCTTCTCCGTCTTCTCCGCCGCTTGATAGTGGATATTCATGCCTGCCCCGCCATCTCCACCAATCACTCTACGTTCAATACGGAGTTCCTCCGTTTCGTGACTCTCAACTCCTTTTTCTCCCGCACGAGGCCGTGTAGCACATGAGCCGAAGTCATTTCGAAGAACGTGTCCTTGATCTGAACGGAGTGTTCTCGGTCAAGCACTATGCTAAGAAGCTCGTTCACGAATCGGAAGAGCGTATTTAGGATCACACTCTTGCGTCATAACAACGCGTTCGAAAGGTAGATTTGTCTGTAAGATTTTCGAGATTCATATTTTTCGATTGCCTTCTCGATAGTTCCTGAAAAATAACCATACTTATTTGATTTTCTTGAGGCCATATCTGCAATTATCAGTTAACAAGTAGTCATGTCACCCACCTCGGACAACAGTAACCATGACTCTTTGACGAACTACGCTGCTTATCGTACCAAAGATGGTTCAGCCCGTATTGGGCATTATGATCTTAAGAGGCAAGAGATAACGCCACTTAGTTATGTCTCAGGCACTCCTTTATCGAGCTTATACGAAGTGATCGAAGTTGGCGAGAAAGAAATCGCCGCGGCCGGTCCTGCTTTTCCAGCTTCTGAAGTTAAACTGCTGGCTCCAATATCAGGACGTGATATTCTGGCGGTGGGGAAGAACTACGCTGAGCATGCTGCCGAGTTTCATGGTTCTGGGTACTGTCACATTAGGATCTCTCGAGCTTAATACTAACTTCTATCCAGCTATGATTCCTCAGACAAGGTGGCCCAGCCGACACATCCTGTGATCTTCACAAAGCGAGCCACATCAATCATTGCTCACGGTGACACCATTTATCCTCATGAGAGCTTCACTGAGTCACCTGACTATGAAGGCGAGATTGGTGTCATCATTGGCAAGCCAGGTTTCCGAATTCGTGAAGAAGACGCTATGGACCATGTCTGGGGCTACACCATTGTTAACGACATGACAGCTCGAGAACGCCAGAGAGACCACAAGCAGTTCTATATTGGCAAAAGCCCCGATACTTTTTGTCCGATGGGACCGATCGCCGTGCCAAAGGAGCACTTGCCAGACAACTTGGAAGTTCAAACGCACGTCAACGGAGAGAAGCGTCAATCTGCAACCCTGAAAGATTTAATCTTCAGCATTCCAGTCCTCATCAAGACTATGTCTGAAGGACAGACGCTTCAATTGGGTGATGTGCTCGCAACAGGGACGCCGTATGGTGTAGGTTTTGGTTTTCGTCCAATGAAGTTCTTGCGTGAGGGAGACGAGGTAAAAATTTCTGTCACAGGTCTAGGGAGTCTGGTGAACCGCATGGCTAGTCCAAAGAGCACAAATTCGGTCACAGCACAGGTGCAAGCGCAGACCTATGTTCCAGTCTCGAACGACAGAACTTTTGGTGGCATCGGGTTGACAGAAGTTAGTAACAAGAAGCTGTTCTACCGTCATGTTGGTCAGGATAATGCAGAATCATTTGTGCTCATTCATGGACTCGGTGGTACCAGTGACTATTTCACACCATTGACGAAGCATTTCGAGAGCTCGAAGTCGCTTCACCTGTCAGATCTTGAGGGTCATGGTTTGTCGCCCACTTCAGCAAGAAGCACTTTGACAATTTCAAGCTTTGCAAAAGACACCGCCGACATGTGCAATGTGGCAGGTGTGAGCAAAGGTGCCATAGTCGTCGCACACTCGATGGGATGTTTGGTGGCTGTCAAGCTAGCACTCGATCACCCAGAACTCGTTGCCAAACTTGTGCTCATGGGCCCACCTCCGTCACCTTTGCCTGAAGCTGGAGCCAAGGCGACCCATGGCAGAGCAGCAATTGTCCGAGAAAAAGGCATGCTCGGAGTGGTTGATGCTGTTGTTGGTGCAGGCACATCACAAACTACGCAGTCAAGTCGTCCCATGGCTGTGGCTGCTACGAGGTTATCCTTGCTGTCACAAGATCCCGAAGGCTATGCCAAAGCTTGTACAGCACTTGCCTCGGCTGAAGGTCTTGACTTCTCGCAACTGAAGTGCCCAACTTTCATCCTAACGGGCACTGATGACAAGGTATCACCTCCTCAGCTGTGCGAGAAGTACAGCGGGCAAATTTCTGGAAGTAAAATGAAAGTACTTGAGGGTATTGGACATTGGCATTTATTTGAAGATCCTCAAGGTGTCGTCGATGCTATTGTCGGGTTCGTTGGTTAGATAGACAATTCTCTTTGAACCACAAGCGATATTATTATCCCATAAGCATGTTCCGTCGATCACCGCAGGTGTCGGAGCAGAACTACTACGGGCGTGCTTCAAGCGCTGCTGTAGAAAAGCTTTCGCGGATCCCTTGGCCAACCAAACTTTTATCGCGGAAAGGCGAAGCCTACCGTAAACATCGGCGCTGATGTCCGGGCACTAGCAACCGTCCTTTGGAGAAGACGCGGGCACTGTTTCTACTGTCCGACCCCTCCATTACAGATCTTAGTTATTCCTTAAACCTTCGTTGTTCCTAACTCTGTTGATTTAACCAAGATGCATTTAATCTTGATGTTTTCTCTCACATATCCAGACCTGCTTCCACCATGAAACTATGTCGAAGCGTCCAAAGAAACGCTTACCTATCTCTTGTGAAAACTGCAGGCAACGGAAGATACGTTGTCTGGGAAGTCAGATCCCTTGTGAGACATGTGTTCGCCGGAGTGTGGCAGCTTCATGCCACTTCCAGCGAGGAGGCAGTCCGGCTATGGCTGCAACAACTTCCAGCAGTCCAGATGCACTGATGGCCAAAATGACACGTGTTGAAGATCTGCTCAAGAAGCATATTGAATTGACATCAGCAAATCAGGCTCGCCCTCCATACTCGAGAGTATATCAATCGTCTGTCACACAGTCTTCCGATATCACATATTCAGAACTCGAGAATACTTACTGTCAACCTGCGAGCTATGGACATCTTTCCAAAGATTCCAATGGCTATGTCAGGTACATACCATATGACAATAGTACAGGTGCTTCACTACTCAATGATCTACACCAGTCAGCCAGCAGCAACACAGCCTCGCTGTATGTAGAGAATTCTGGCTTCCCTTTCACACCAGACTCGAGCATATCTCGGCAACAGTTGCTTGACCTTCTACCTCCGACCAGTTACTGTTCCCAGTTGAAGGACGTGTTTTTCAGCGTATTTTCACCACTGTTCCATGTGTTACACGATCCAAGTTTTGACCAACATTACCAGCACTTCTACCAGGATCCACAAAACGTGCCACTATCTTACCTAGCGCTAGTTTTCGTCGTTCTCGGGATTGCTGTTACGGCGCTGGATGAGAATCACCAGCTCCTTCAGGACCTTGGGCGAGCAGCCAGCCCCTCAGAGAACATCCGGCTTATTGCAGCACGATATCGTTCCGCAGCGATGCGCTGTCTGTCAGCCGATCATTTTATGTGGCGCCATAACTTGCACACTATGCAGACATTGGTCCTGCTCATATATGCATTGAGTCATGCTTACGGCCCAGCCTGGTCTTTGTTGGGCACAGCTCAAAACATTGCAGTTGCAATCGGCTGTCACGTTGACCCTTCACATCTGAACGTTAATCAAGTGGAGGCAGAAGAACGCCGACGGTGCTGGGCAGCATTGATGATGCTATACACAATTCAAAGTACTTGTCTTGGCAATATCGTCCCTATTATCCACACAGCGAAGGTGAGGCTTCCTCTTGATCTCGATGATGAGCTAGTCACAGATACACTGTCTCTGGAACAGGTTGAGGACGCATCATCTCCACAACGACCATCGAAGATGTCCTACATTCTTTTCAAGTTCCGGCTATATCAGCTTGCTGCAGATATTTGCCAGACCTCATTGCCCAGTAATCGTCATAATTGGCTAGTGGTATCGAGACTAGACGCAAGAATTGCTGTGGAAGAGCAATCTCAGAAAACACGATTTTCGAACTTAAGCGGCCTACCTTTGTACCATCAAGCTCATTACTATATTCTTAATAGCTTTACGAATCATCTCTACCTAATTCTGCATCGACCATTTCTCAACAGTTCGAAGTCTGGTCAGCAGTCAACTGAACAACAGCACAATTTGCGGAAATGTCTCAAGGCTGCATCGCTCATCCTGGATAACTATGAGACGCTACTAGCGACCGAGTCGCTTCGACCTTATAGATGGTATACTTACGGTCTCGGATCATTCCACGCCTTTTTCGCTGTTTCAACACTGGCGACAATCATTGGCCATCGATCAATGTTGGTGAGAATTGATATGTCTGCTGCTATTACCATGTTTCAGAGTGGTATCCGATGGCTCAGAAAAGTTTCGTCCAGGAGCGAAACTGCCAAAAAGGCTTCCGATGTGCTTGACCGAATGCTATTGTCTCATTCTAACGCTGAAGGCTCCACAGATCATGCAGAACAGCTGGATGGCACAACTGTACAGCATTATGTCGAAAATGGGAATTCGAGTACTTCAATCTCCTCTGGCAGTCAGGGCGCCGCTGGTTATGCCCCACTGCACAGCAATGGGATGTCGGTAGACTCGACATCGACTGAGTTGGACCTTGACGGCTGGGTACCGAATCCCGAACTAAGTAACTTCTTATCAACTGTGCCTTCACAGCAATGGCTAGCTCCTTCGGCATTTCCCTGGGGTCGATGGTGAGATCTACAGTCTTCACGTGCATCTGAACAACAAAAAAGCAAAAAGGATATTACCCGAGACGTTAGGAATTGAGCCGAACGTGGGGGTCTGAGTCATGTTAGTCTGGATGCTGATGCGAGAGATGTGAAAGTCACGAACCGAACCCACGACCTAAAGATCTTGCCCTCTGTGAGATAAGAGTCTTTCGCTCTACCGACTGAGCTAGCCCGGCTTTGATTTATGTGGTAATTTCTGACGCAAATTTTGGCCATTTGCCATAAGACTTTCACGTCTTCCTTGTCCCGGTAGTCACAAGTCCTTTAAATGTGGACCAAGACAACATTAAATGTTCAAAATTTAAAAGATTTTCATTCTGTGGGTCCACTAACTTGAACTTCAGGCGTCAAGGCAGCAACAAATTGTTTGTGTTGACCTGCTGTCCCATCGCGGATAGGCGTACATAGTTAAGCTTAAACTTGCTTCGTAATATTGTAACCGATGTTATGAACACTCTTATACACTTTTCTAGGTTGTCCGACGTGAACTTCACATTTGTAGGTCCTTGTAGGTCTGCCTCAACCAAGCCCTCACAGACGCTCTCGGTCAAGGGATCGCTGATCCTTCGTCAAAAATCCGACATTCCCTGTAACGACTCCCTGCTTCCTCATCAGGCTATTTCAAAGTTCTTAACCTCCTTAGCTTGGGATTTCCGACATGCTTCGAATATATGCATGCGCAAATGCTCTTTAATTGATGTACATTATGTTGTTGATACAGGAACGCCGTTGGTAACTGATGTGGTTGCAAGTGGCTGACGCTCACTAAACCGATCACTGAACAATGCGAACTGTCCACGCATTACAATCGTGTACTTGACGAACTCCTCTGCACAGTCGACCAAACGGTCACGATTTGAGCCAGCCTTCATCCGAGAACCACCCTCCTCACCATCGATCGAGTCAAAGAGCGTGTATGCCTGCGGCACGGAAGACTGGTTGGGAATCGTAAACATACGCATCCAACGCCCAAGAATGCGGAGACTGTTTACGCTGTTGAAAGATTGTGACCCACCTGACACCATGGCGAGTCCTAGCGTGCGGCCCTGTGTTGGACGCACGGATCCTGTACTTAGCGGAATCCAGTCGATCTGGTTCTTCATCCACCGGCCCAGCACGCGCAACGTGTTGACCGTGTTGAACGACTGCGAACCGCCGCTCACCTGCATCACTGCCAACGTGCGGCCTTGCGTGGGCCGCAAGCTGCCATCCTCCAATGGCAACCAGTCGATCTGGTTCTTGAACACGGCTGTCAGGTTGCCGTGCTGCTCCGGACTGATCCAGAAATGGCCATCGCTCCAGCGACTCAGGTTGCGGAGTTCTTGTACTTTAGGGTGGTCATGCTGCTCGTCGTCCTTGATTGGTAGCTCTTGAGGATCAAATATCCGCACGTCACAACCTAGTCGAAACAGAATCCGAGAGATTTCGTACGCCAGGAGTTTGGAGTAGGACCTACGAAAGTGATTAGCTGGTGCTACAAAACAACCGTAAGGAGTGTAACAACCTTTTGCGTAAACTTCCATAAAGAACCAGCACTCTTAACCTCGAGCCAGTCTTCTGAAGATCTTCATACGCCATCTTCGTGGCAGTCGCCAATTCTAGCTGGCTCACCCAGTCTGTCTGCTGCACTTCATCTGAGAGCAGAAATGGTCGATACATCCTTCGAACATCTGGATCATCCTCTTCTGCTTCGATGGCGAGGGATCGGTATGCAAATGCGGGATCGCGTTGAGGTGGTTCCGTAGCACGCATAGCCGACACGTTGTTGAGGTCTCCTCTTGAAGTCACCAAATCCGTTTTCTGCAAGGACTGCGCTACATGGCCGTTCATAATCATTTTAGAGGGAGAGGCTGAATATGCTATCGCCTTCTGCGACATATAGCGATTCTTGGGGAAATGAGTGATGAAGTGATAAGCACAGGCTTGGATATTCAAAATAAAGAGAGTCAGATCTGGTCGAAACTTGGCATTATAAACACAACACTGTACCCTTCTTACCAGCATTGTTCCGAGATACCAAGCCTAACAGGCAGTCAGTAGACAAAAGAATGATGTCTATGAGCACTTCGGAGGCAGAAAACCCGTTGGTTTCCGTGACTGGATGAGATAGCATTTAGGTGGAGGGCTCGGACAAAAAATTCCCATGTTCCGTCCCGGTTAGTCATTGAAGAGTTTTGATTGGCTCAGCAAGTCTCCCCAGCTAATCGTGACCCACAACTTTGCCTTCTCTGAGGAGCAGCGGTGACATATCGACTGGACTTCTGCGTAAATTGATAAGATGCAATCAACGGGATGATTTAATTGAGCAGCATGCTTCTAGCGTCGAACGACCTTGTCTCCACAGTGATCGTAAGACGTTGAAACTCAACAGTCATCAATTAAAAAGCAACTACATCGCGCTGGAAGGCAGAGTGTTTGCTTATGAATAGCAAGATGTAGGGTGAAAAAGGTCGGCTTTCATCGACAACTGGAAAGCCACTACCCGGAATAGTGCTAGCATGCAGGATCTGAAGTCTGGTCTTTTTACTACCCCTTTATGACTTCCATGCTTGAGTGTTGTGCTCATTCATCCAGGCAGTGATGACTGGCCCTGCTCGAAACAGAATTATTAAAGAGAACAGATGCTTGGAAACGTCATGCCTTGGAACAGATGTATTAAGAATAACTTGCGTCCAGACAGGAGTAACGTATTTAATGTATTCACTCTTTGCCAAAAGATAGTCTGCTTGAGTTCAGTCTCTTTACTGCTTCCTCCAAAACCGGTCCCGTGCCGTGGAGAAAATTATGCTTTGACAGCATAGATCTTAAACGAGCCTGTACAACTGGTAAGCGATACCATCGACCGTGGATCTTCCAGAGAGGTTTTCACGTACCTGCCAACTCGTTGAGGTCTAGCTTTGACAGATCTGATATACTGTTTGATGCAAGGTTTTCACCATTGCAGCAAGATGGATTCTTCTCACAGCAGCTGTGCTCTGCCCCTTCGCCACAACATCCGCTACCTTTGCCTTGTTCTTTAGCCTCAGAATAGATGTTCAGGTCGCTCATAGAGTCCACGATTACGATGTCTAATGAACACAATTCATGGTCAGAGAGCGCTGAATGAGAGTAACTGGTACTGTTTCACGACAGGGTAAAGGATTTCAGACACTTACCACCAAAACCTGCTTGCTGGAGATATCGTTCATACCCACTTACTTGGCTCGCCCCAGCAACACACCCGACGTATAAAGCCATACTGTTCTTAAGCTCTTGTGAAAGCTCTCTCTTGGTAAGTATATCACTAAGTGCGACGCGACCACCAGGCTTAAGCAGTCGGAAGATTTCATTGAAAACGAGCTGCTTCTCCGCTTCGGGCACAAGGTTCACGACACAGTTGCTGATGATGCAGTCAGCTGTCGCGTCAGGAAGTGCAATGTCGGTGATCTGTGATTCGATGAAGGAGACGTTTTCCGCTCTGGCTTTCTCCTTGTTCTGGTTGGCTCGCTTGAGCATATCCTTCAGAAGAAATAGTTTAGCTTCGGGATCGGGTCGTGGAGATATTCCAAGGTGCTAAATACCTTATTCATGTCAACACCGATGACTTGCCCTTTGGAGCCGACTTTGCAGGCAGCTAGAAATGCATCAAAACCTGCACCACTGCCGAGATCGATCACAGTTTCTCCCTAAGGCATGTGTAAGTAAATATCTTGTTACCATAGTAGGGGGTGGCGTTGACAAGCAATAGGAAATAAGGGGCACACTTCTCTCAGCTTGGCTAACGCCAATGGATTCCCACAGCTCAGGCCGAGGTTTGCATCACTGGGAATGCTCCCAAGCTCCTCTTTGCTGTATCCGAACGCACTTGCGACTCTGTGTCCATAGACTGGATCGTCGTTTTTGGCAGCTAAGCTGTAGTGTTCCTGAACTTTCTCGTAGATTTGAGTATCCTCCATTTTCACAAGAGGTCAACAGTGTAAGTCTCCTCTGAAGTAAGATATGACTTGGATGTCCTATAGGCCGAGTTGACTCAAAGTCTTATGAGACCATTCAAGTAGTCTTCTTGTATTTGGAGTGAAAAGAATCTTCCGTAGCAAGAAGTTACAAGTCACGAACTGGAAAAAGATAGGACTGCTATGGATCTCTCTGAAATCTGTAACCTCGTAGTAAGAATGGTATTTAAGCCTGAAATATCTCTATGGGTAGTACGCCAATATGCCTCCGCTTCTAGACATTGATATGTCACTGATGAAGCGCATGATCTAGTGCTGCACTTGGGGCATGCAATTGTGAAGGTAAGGATGATTTGTCACCGGAAACACTTTACGCACCGAAGATCTCCATTCTGCTAACTCAAAACAGTAATTATGCCTAGCAAGTGGGGCATGATCGATATGTCACCAGCTCTTGGCTCGCCCCGAAACCACCTCGCCGAGTTCCTCTCTTGCTCTCTTGTTGAGACAACATCATCGCTCAACAAAAAAAGGCCAAAGAACAAATTGTGGCTGCCACCAATGTCTCCAACCAGCGGGCGTGTACAAAATGCCTCAGACGTACCAACAAAGACACCCGCTCGCACTCTCATTCGCGTGCGGAACAATCAGCGTCGGCATCGTGAACGGCGTCGCCAGCACATAGCTTCACTAGAGTTGAGAGTACAGGAAACCGAACAGCAACTGAACCAAGCACTAACAGAAATTGCAACGTTAAGAGCAGAACTCGAGAGATCGCAACTGAGGAACAATAAGCCCATGGATGACACGAATGATTCGCCTTCTTCCAAAGCTACACCAGTCGCTGAAAATAGGCACGGGGAAGGGCTAGAGAGAGCCGAAACACGAGAGACCTCCACTATGACTCAACTCTCTGGTTCTTACACAGGACCATCATCAGCCACTCAGAGTCTGTCAGTATCTCGACCAATAGCAAACAATTCGCCTACTGTGCAACCTCTTAGCAGCCTAGCTGATTCGTGGTCTGAACACCTTGTTGCGTCGGCTCTCATGCATCCAGAAGCTTCTTTTGATCACTATCAGGCATTCTCCTCACCACGATGCTGTTCAGCAGACAAGGAGGCTCAAAACTTTACAACCACCATGTCGGGCACCACAATTTCTACGCTATCAATTTCCGAGTCTGCGGAACCAAGGATATCACCTTCCCTCTGCAGTGATTATCCACCTTCTAAAGACGAGTC